GGGGGGGGACGGATCATTGGGGAGAAAAAGGGACATCTGTAATAAACAAAAATAAAAATTATTAAAAAAAAAATAAAGCAGATCGACTATGTATCCACAATGGTGGATACATGTCATTGTCCATTTGTCCAAGCTCACGGAATGTACACCCCCAAGAGCGAACCCTGATATAAGCTGTGGGTTGGGGTGATAATGACCTGTGAAGGTAGGTCCCTCGATTATAATAAATGTGCCACTGTGCTGCGGTGTTGCTAACGGCAGAGGTTTCACGCGAGGGCACGTTTCAGGCGGGCGGTCAGCCGCGGTGAGAGAAGAGCTGTTCGGGGGCACCGTAAGCGCCAGCACGTGGCTCCCCGAAAGCCCTGGGCGGCCTTGCAGCGTCCTGCCCGGGTTTCCGCAGGTGCAGCCGGGTGCGCGGGCGCTGCAGCTCTGGGACTGCGGGCCGCGCTCCGCAGGGCCTGGCGCGTGCAACGCGCCCAAGTGGAGAATCACCGGGTTCCATCTGGAAAACATCGTTCGGTCCTCAACTGTTTCCCCTGAAGGATTTGCCAATTACATGGCAATCATTTTCTTTAATAATAAAATCCCTTTAAATTGTGATGAAATGTTATTTGTTCTAATTGTTCATTTTTAGAAGCCATTGTTTTGTATCCCGATGTGTATTTTAAAGCAGGGTCCTGAAGTGCTTGAAAATTCTAAACTCCAGCGCGCTGAACACATCCTAACGGTAAAACAACAAGCCTTAGTCCTTCACAGCCTGACGCTGATACCAGATATATACAGAACTGAAATTTAGTCCACATGGACCGCAGGCGAGCAAATAGTTTCAAAATAACACGTCATTACACACTAGGGCTTCTAATTAGTCAGGCACAAGAATACTTTTTTTTTTTTTTTAAATATACCTTTATTGATTTCAGAGAGAGGAAAAGAGAGAGAGAGAAACATCAGTGATGAGAGTCATTGATCGAGCCCACAACCCGGGCATGTGCCCTGACCGGGAATCGAACCCCTATCGCCTGGATCCCAGGTCGACGCTCAACCGCTGAGCCATGCCCGGCCGGGCACAAATACTTATTTTAAAACAGTATTTTACTTTAGATGTGTTGTTTTCCCCAAACACATGGTCTAAACTCACCATTTTATAGATAGCTGTCTGTGCAAACAGTAACAGAATTTCCAGGTTCTGATCCATGACGCTGTAAGAAACAGCGCCAGTTCTTGTTTTGAAAACGCCGGCTCTCAGGCAGCTTGTTCCTGGGGGAGGGAAGGCGCGTTTCTACTACTAACTCACGCGGCATGAAAGTGGGCTGTAAGGTTCCTGTTAGAACAAGGCACTGCATTTTGATCACTCTGGATTTAAAATATACTACATATTAATAAATAAAAATCCCTTTTCCAAATCACACACTGTGGTGGACAAAAATGTAGTTAAAATACCTATTAATAGTTAAATTTATCGTGTGGGATAAGACGATCTTTCTTTAGGCTTACCAAAGAATCCGTTCCGTTTTGAATAGCTGGGACTCAGGTTCTTATCCAGACAGAATTACTGTTTTCTGTGATAGCTCACCTACCAAAACCTAGCTCGAGTCTGCTTAATGAAACTGAAACCACGAGAAATACCCAGGAGGAACCTAGTGAAATACCCAGAAGGAACCTAACGCAATAAACGCTTTCTGCGTGGGCCGGTGGGTCTGCGTGGGCCGGTGGGTCTGCGTGGGCCTGTGGGTCTGCGTGGGCCGGTGGGCTTCCCTGCGCTCGCCTTCCTCTGCCGGGGCTGAAGCACAGGCCGGGCACCCTGAAGTCTGACTTCCGACCCCGCCAGCTGGTGATGCCACTGACCAGGCTGAGCATTTTCTTCTGGTCACCTTCAAAGCACCTTCACGGAGCCATTTCTAGCTAAAGGTAAGCATTTAAACCAGATGCCTGAGAGTAAGGGGTAATTGCGGAAGCAAACACAGTAAAGGGTTTTGATCAGGTGACCCAAACTGTGTGTCACGGACGCCTAGTCTGGTGGGTGGCCCATAGCTCTGCATCGCCTTCAGGGGCCATTTGGAAACACAGTGGCTGCGTTGCCCTAACGCTCTGCTTGGCTGGCCTGAGAAGGCAGCGTGTTTCCGAGCGCCCACTACCTCGCCCAAGGGTCCACTTACACACAGAAAATCTACGGACCGATCATAATCTTTATTCCTCTAGTCAGGTTTTCTAACACAGTAATAGTGTTAACCTCATGTTAGATATGTGCATTTGAAATGAAAAGAATTGAGAGTTTAATACTCTTTAAATTCTTACCTTCCATGGATTCCAGCTATCATGACCCCATTTTAGTACAAATGAGAATGGTTTTGATGTATAAGTTTTTAAAAATTGGAATTTTGGGGACTGTCCTGGTTTCATGTGATATGTTATTATCTCCAAAAGTTATTAAGGACATATCCCCATGTGATTAATATTTAAACTTTTGTACAACATTTCACAGGAGAAATTCTTGTCAGTGTAAATACAGAAAACCTTTGTTTGGCAAACTGAGCTGCCATTACTGGGTTCAGAGAGCTTCACTTACATTATGAGTTTAGTTACCACTTACAACTGTGACTCAACAGGAAAGTCAGAGACCACTGGTGTGTGTGGCTTCTGTCTACTGGGTATCCCATGGAGAGACATGTCCACCCCACAAGGACAGTGGGTCCCCACAATGCCTGTGACATACTGCAAGTCCTGAGGTAGGCTCTGAACCATTCCAAATAATGTGCTCTCTACATTGAAAACTTGGTAATCTGTTTACAGTTCATATGTTAACTCTACCCAGAAACACTTGTGCTCTGTCTGTACAGGTAAGACAACTGACCCACAGTTTATTGACTATTCTTAAAGGTAGTAAAATAGAATTTTATTTGGAGAAAAAAGGAAAAAAATTAGAAAACAGAACAAAAGGGATCAGAAAACGGAGCCAATGTAACGTTTAAGGCGACTTTGGAAACTAACCATTGTGGGTGTTTCGTCGGAACACCTGAGGTGGGTGACCCCTCCTGAGGGTGGCGGTCACACTGCGTGTGAAGTGGATGGTGTTGGAAGAAGATTTGAGGGAGGGCTGCTGCCACCCAGAAGAGCTGTGGTCACCGCCAGGCGGCAGTCACCCAGGCGAAGCCCTTGCCTGCCTTACATGTGAGTTGAAGGAAGGGCCTGGTTAAAGTGTGGGCTCCAAAAAAAAAAAAATAATAATAATTGGAAACCCCAGATCACCAGACCCCTGAGTTCTGAGCCCCTGAGCCTTTGTTTTTCAGGCTGAGGCCGGGAATCGACAGCAGTGCCCAGGCCTCAGGTCAGCCGCCAGCTCCTTCAGCGGCGTCTCGGGAAGCGCCACAGTTCTCACGGGGAATTAGGAAAGGCCCGCTCCGCCGGAACCGTGATCTGGGGAGACGCGCGGTGAGCGCTGTGCCGCCTTAGGCGCTTTCCGCGCCCCTGGGGCCGGCAGCCCGGCGCCTCCCGCACAGCTCAGCACGCCGCGGCCAAGGAGCAGGCCCCGCAGCCGTGGCCGGTTTGCTAACTGGGTAACGGTTCCGGCAGCCGGCCCTTAGCATTACCTGCGAAGAAGCAAGCCCTGCTGTTCCACTCGCGGCCGCAAAAATCAAACCTGTTACCACGGACCCCTAAGGCCCGAGCACATTCTGTAGCCACGCTGGAACTCTGGTTGGGCCACGTGTCCCCACCGAGGGAGTCACCGTCACGGGTGGCTCGAGGGTCTTTCTGTATTATTGACATGTAGGCTGTCATCATTAGTTAATGGGGTTCAACGCCACACTCTCTCCTTCATTATCGTATAATTTTATAAAAGAAAGTATAGAGAAAAAGCTAAATGAAGTCAAATTTATTTTTCATTTTTTTATCATTCAACAAATAAGAAAAATTCATACCGATAATAAAGATAAAGTGACGTTCCCTTTTTCAAAATTTACACAATGTCATGAAATTTCTTTACCTGACTTTTAGTAAGTGAAACAATTTGGTCTACCAACTTAAGAAGTAGTGTCATAAAAATTTCATTTACTCTCCTTTAGTTCCAGAAAGTTCAACTCCTTATAACATTTATAAATAAAGAACACCAGGAAAAATCAGGAAATTTCTTTTGAGGGTCATTTTCTGTTTCAACCTTCCTTTTCAAATTCTGTAAACTAACTACTTAAATTCACTCTTGGCAGCTCAGCAACACACATCACACCTCTTGACTCATGTCCCTATAATAAAATTCTAAAGTCAGTCAGTTTCAATTTCTTTTCAGCAGATGTAATACGTATTTTATATAAATATTTTCATTTAAAATTAAGACTTTTGGCACAGAATCTCAAGCCTGTAGTTTTCAAATTGTGTCTACACTGCCTTCGGCTGATGAACTAGGGAGCGTTGCGAGGAAACTGTTCTCTAGGACCTTGTGTCTTGTACGTACGAAGACTCCCTCGGTCTCGCACCCAGCAATCCATCAGTGTCCCAAGACTTCAGAACATGAGAATAAAGGCTAGAAAATTTATTTCTGCACATTGGTGGGGCGAGAAGGGGACAGAAAACCACTGCCAAGGATTCTAAGTACTGTGCTTTACATTTATGTATGTTTTCCATCGGTAATACTATGGCCACAGGTATCCTTCGCTGCACCTCCAATGTGAATCCGTGGAGCTGCATGAGCGGCTTAATTTCATGTCTAAACCCAGAAATTTAGAATCTTGTTCCAGTCACATTTTAAAGAGGGTTGTTTGTTTTTATTTTTTCCCAGAAAAAATGCAAGCCAATAAAATCTACAGTATGTGTAAGAGACAGAGACTCCAATCATCTTTAATGATCATGTTCCACTGCTTTCTGCTGTACTTTTAAGAGCACTCAGATGAGTAGAATCCACTATTATATGAAGAACTGAGTTACCACTTTATTTGTGGGGTGGGGTGGGGTGTGAAAAATTTACAGGCTAGTGTAAAATAACAGAACTCCCACATTCTCCAAAGTGCTTCCTGCCTGAACGCTAACCACTGTGTTAAACACTGGAATGCCGTTAACACAGGCTTTCAACCTTGTCGGCTTAGAGCCTCTGACCTGGATTCAAAGCTCTAGGATGTTCTACAGAAAAATTCTGAAGCAGATGGTCGTAGATGGGCGTGAGTGGGACCCTCCCGCCTCCTACTCCCAGTATCTCACCCCGGAAAACCTGCCAACAAGTCTTCCCCAGGTGCGGCCCTGTCTCCCCACAGGCCACACGGGGCCCCCGCGTGGAACTTCATCGAAAGCTGCCACCCAGCGTGTCACACACCGCACACGGGTGTCACCCCCACAGACAGCCTTTCTCCGCACCATGTAAACACAGAGGAGATGGAATCACACGTCACCCAGCACACGTAGAGGGAGGAACAGTGAAAGGCCGGCTGACTTTCATTACTGCACGGAGCGACCTCGGGCCGGGCCTGGGAGCCAGGCCACCTCGTGGGCCCTCAGCTCAGGGTCCGAGGCCGGGACTCTGAGCTGGTGGCCACCAGCCACCAGGAGCTGCCCTCTGCGCCTTGGGAACATGTTTGGAGTCTTTTTAGTGCCATTCACTTAAAAACTGATCACAGATATACTTTTTTTTTTTCATAAATAAAATCTGAGGCATATGCATATATTAAAACTTTCACCAGCCAGGGTGCGTGACACGTCAGGTTCCGTCCCTCCAGGTCAGCGCGGGCACACTTCTCCCCTCGGTCTGCAGAGGCTGCAGCTGCCGCGAGTCACAGAGCACGGTTCGTGCACTTTTCTCTTTGATTTGCCTCTTCCTGGGATAAGCAGTCGCCCCACTAACCAAGGGCCTGACTCCGTCCCCGGAGGGGACTTGGGCGCCAGGCGGAGAAGCGACTCGGTGCGGGTTTGGAGCTGGTCAGCGCCGCCCTCCCGGGGCTGCGTGCCTTTCCCATCAGGGCTTCTCGCCCCCAAAGCGGGCTTTCCGGCCCCCGGGCTCCGACGCCCTTCGGACCAGCCTGGGGGGCGGCCTGGGCCGGTCACCTGCGGTCGCACTGTCTTCCCACACCGGGCCAAACTGGCCTTTGGCGAGCAGGGGCTGCCGGAGCACGCCGGGGGTCTGGGTGGCGCCCTCTTTGCTGCGGGGCGCCAGGGGGGCGCAGGGCTGCGGGCGGCCGGGGCCCAGGCCCGCCTCGTCCGTCCACTCCATGCTGCAGGGCTGCGGGCCCTTGGAGAACGGCTCGGGCAGGAAGCGCCTGGCGCGGGGCTTCAGGTTGAGCACGGCGGTCCCGGCCTCCGTGTCCGAGTCGCTGCTGCCGCCTGCACAGAGGGAAAGCACAGCGTGGGCCGGCTGCAGGCGGAGGAGCCCCGGGCCTGGGCGCAGCTGGCAGGGCCAGAGCTCCCCCGACTGGGGCCAAGAGTGGGCGTTTGCTTCACCTCCTGAGCCTCAGGCCCCTGTGAGTTCACACTGACTGGGAAGGGCTCTGACTATGCTCAGCTCTGTCAGCCGCGTTCACCTGCTGAGTGCGCACAGTCACCTGTTTCAGGGGAAGGAGCCAAGGCGTGGGAGGGGTCAGTGGTGGGGCTGCATTCACACTGAGACAGGAGCCAGGGCTGTGCTCGGACCTGCCCAGGGCCACTACCCCAGGAGGGCTCAGCTGGGGCCCGGAACACAGGAGGGCTCAGCTGGGGCCCAGGGCACAGGAGGGCTCAGCTGGGGCCGAGCACACAGGAGGGCTCAGCTGGGGCCCGGGGCACAGGAGGGCTCAGCTGGGGATAAGCACACAGGAGGGCTCAGCTGGGGCCCGGGGCACAGGAGGGCTCAGCTGGGGATAAGCACACAGGAGGGCTCAGCTGGGGCCCGGGGCACAGGAGGGCTCAGCTCAGGCCTGGCACACAGGAGGGCTCAGCTGGGGCCCGGGGCACAGGAGGGCTCAGCTGGGGACGAGCACACAGGAGGGCTCAGCTGGGGACGAGCACACAGGAGGGCTCAGCTGGGGACGAGCACACAGGAGGGCTCAGCTGGGGCCCGGGGCACAGGAGGGCTCAGCTGGGGCCCGGGGCACAGGAGGGCTCAGCTCAGGCCTGGCACACAGGAGGACACCAAGAGTTAGCTGCCATTAGGAGGGTTCCTGTCTTGATCTGGAATCTCATACACAGCTTTATTTTCTTCATATTTTTATAAAAGGGTCAAAACACCAATGTGCACTTTCCAAAGGAGTCAAGATGAAAACCAGCTCCCTGTCAAAACTGAGGTCCTAGGCCCCTGTGGGCAGGACAGCGGATGGACTTGCCCAGGAGTTGACAGCCTTGGGAACAGCATTTTCGCTGGATGCTCAGTGGTACTATGGCCATTGTTCTGAACACCCAGCATCCCCCTCTCCCCACCTCAGCCTCCACTACCACAGGCCAGCGTCAGACTTTGCTCTTCTTGGTTAAATAAACAGGCAAGGAAAAAAGGGGAGGGGGGTATTGTATTATTGTTATATCTACCTTTTAAGAACATGATATCCTAACACATTTCTGGGGTTTCACAGAAAATGGCTTGGAGTTCCCATGAAGATTATCACCAAATAAAGAAATATCAGACTTTATGTCAAAGCTTAAATGATTACAGAAGTAAATAATATGGCTGCCTTTATGAAAATATATTAGGATTATTGTAAAAAATTAAACCTGCCTTTGCACATTTACAGCTTTCCTGTTTACTTGCTCAATAACCACACAGTGATAATATTTGCTTTGCTATATCAAACAGAGTCATTATGAAGAACAACTTATTGAATTTTGTAATGTGCACAGAACTCCACTCAGAAATGTTGGGGCGCTAACAAAAGGCCCCTGTGTTGTTACTTTAGATCTGCAGGCTATTGAGCTCACTGTGCTTAATGAAGAAGCAGACTAGGGACATCTTTCTGGTCTATGCATGTTAGTAAATACGTTTCAGGTGTTTCTGCTCCAACTGTATTCAGTACCTGTATTAGAAATATTTTTCTTTTGTAGCTTTTCTGGAAGCTTTGTGTTTTTTGGTAAGGACAGGTATCGGGAGGCTGAAGTGGAAGCCTGTAGAAGAAACAGAAAACTTTAGACTATGCCGACGGTATTTATTAGAAGTCTAAAATCTTATGACAAACCTTGCTGAAATTAAAATTTTAATTCTCAATGACAAAATTACTTTGTGAGGGGCTTTAGGGATGGGGAAGAATGTTTCCAGCAATAATTATTTAATTTAAAATCACTAAACTGCTTCTAAAATATAGAAGTGAGGAATAAAGAAAAGGAAATAAAGTGGCACCACCTGGAACAATACGTGGAAACCACTGGGCTTCCTTAAGGAACAGCTACCGAGCCACCTGTTTGTGACAATATTGGTGAAAGAGCCTTAGAACCTTTGTGTATGCAGAAGATAGGTTAAAATTGTAGCATACTTTAGTTTTATTTACTTTAATAAGTCTTGAGAATGATAGAAACTATTACTACAGCTAATTGGACATTTCCATTGCCATTGTCTTTAGTTCCTTAAATTAATTTTTAATCGATGCTGCCACATTGAACACAAAGAGAAAGATAATTTTGTTCACACGTAAAATTTTGCTCTCTCACAACCAAATACAGAATATTATTAAAGATGCATGACTGCTGAGCTAGATTAAGCAATCACGACATCATTTTAAAGTGGCTTTTCTGATCTGTTGACAATGCCTGGACCCTGCAAGACGCTGAGCCAACTGCGCGTGAGCACGGCTCCCAGCCCCGCAGCTGGGGGTCAGTCAGCACGCGGCCGCCCCTTTGGGCCAGGGCCTGTCCCTGGGAGGCTCAAGTGCTACTTCCCCGAGAAGCCCAGGCCACGCTCTGTCTAAACCTGTAGCTGCCCGAGCCGCCCTGTACTCCCAGCTTCCTTCCTCGGCGATTCCTAACATTCTCCACAGCCCTTTCTGACCTCTTCAAACGGACATTTGCTGATTCTGTCCGCTGGCGGTCACTTTCCCGACGGGAGTGTGAATCCTACAGGAAGAGGAGCCTTTCAGCTTTGCTGCCCGGCGTGTCCCAGGGCCTAGAGCTACGTGCGGATCGTGAGAGGTGCCCAGGGAACACCCAAGAGGCTCTGACACAGGCTCGGTGCCAGAGCTCCTGCGGGCAGCCCTCGGCGGAGCGCCAGCCCAGCGCCTTACCCTGCGGCCCCGCTTCAGGCTGCTGTCCTTCCGGAGGCTCTCCCGCAGGCTGTGCCTGCGGCGGATCAGGATCTCCTTGGCCTGTCTCTCACTCGTGTCGGCCGTCAGGTTGTGTCTGTTGTATGACAGAGTCTGAAATAAAAACACAAGTGACATTTTACAAAACCAACAACAACAGAAAAACTGATCACTGCCCCAGAAATTCCAAAACTTGACTACGTTTCTTTGGCACTGCATCTCAGCGAGGTGCTTAACAACTAATGTGCAGAGAAAAAAAGTATGAAAGTTACCATGCTTTCCCATTTTGAAAGAATTTGTCTTCTAATAAAGCCTGTGAATAAGTACCCCCCTGTGGAAGTGTGATCCTTATCAATGAGAAAAATGATTGAATTCACCGAGTGCCTTTGCCAACCTAGAAGCACCTCGTATGCATTTCCCCATCATTAGTGGGGGGAAAAGACACACCCACTGCATCCATCCTCTGTGGAACAGCAATTACTGGTATAAAAACAAATCACTTTGAGCCACCTGGTGGTGCCATGTGCCTCTGATTAATTAACTAAGAAACATTTCTTCTTTTCAGCTGGTTGTCAAGCTGAGAAAGCCGCCCCCACCAGCAATGAGCATGACGTAGTATTTCAAGCAGTAAGGAGTCTCAAGGTGGGCTGTACAGGCATGTATTATTAGTTTATAAGCTATATAAAAATCCACTTCCTAAAACAAATCGTAATTTGTAATTAGGCTCATTTTCTGATTGAATTAATATCTACTTCTTAGGAATATTCCTGTGTCCAGACAATATTAGGCCTAGTAGAGATACGCAGAAGTAATTCAGAACTGGTTTCCATTCCTGCCTTGAGAAACGTAGCATCAAAGACTAGCGGAATAATACAAAGTCATGAAATGAAGCACTAAGCTTGGGTGGCACAGCGTGAGTTCATTTAAAGACAAGGCTGGGAGTATGTAAGGTGTGGGGAACCTTACAAGCAGCGGTGGAGACGGGAGGACAGCCCCCAGGCCAGGGGTGCAGACAGAACCCGTACCCTGTTCGGGGTGGGGGAGGGAGGGAGGGAGGCGTGGAATAGGAGGGATAAAGTGGAACTTGGACACAGACATCCCAGATTCTGCAAGAGCAGTTCAGCCTGGAAGCCACAACCGCTGTTTTGTTTCATTTCTGATAGAGGAATGCTGCTCTCAAGGGGTGCCTTAGGGAAAAGGGTGGGGGGGCAGTAACGCAGGATGGAATGAAGGGGGAGGCCTTTGGGGGAACAGCTGAGAAGCGACAGGGATGACCCCAACACGAGTGAGGAGTGAAGGGGACTCCGACAAGCAGCGTGGCCCCTGGACCACTTCACCTCCCTGGGCCTCAATTTCTTCATCTGTAAAACGGAGACAATAGTAACATGTTTACTGGGGGGTTAAATGAGCTAATACGTGCAAGGCACCGAAATGGGGCCAGTTGTACGCATTTGCCAAATGTTGGCTATATTACTAGCACACCATCCGAATAAGGCCTTCACAGTGGAAATGCAGCTGAAAATACAACTCAGGTGACACGTTAAAGAAAGAAACTACAGCACTTTATGAATAACAGGGAAGGTTAAATACATTTTCAAAGTCTTCTAAATTATAAATGTAGTTCATTAAAGAATAAAAAAAAGCAATCAATTATTTTTTCACAATTATTTCACACGCACACACAGGTTTTAAATCTCCAGGCCCAGAGCAGCAGGGCTCCGGAGGGTTCGCGGGGTCCGGAGGGAAGCGGCGCCCAGCAAGGCGGCGACCGGGCGCGGCCGGGGACACGTGGGTGGTGGCACCTCCGAGGCCGGCGGGAGGGTGGGACAACATCCCTACAATCCGATGCTACAGAACCGGAAGACCTATTTCCAGTTACGAGCAGTCATTCAGTTAAACAGCAAAAACGCTCGGTTGAGGAAATGGCTCTCACCCGCTGGCGGATCTGGTAGAGGTTCCGCGACAGGAGCTCCCGGATCTCGTCCATTTCGCCGGGCGTGAGCTTCCGTATTTTCTCTTCGCGACAGTCACTGTGAGAAGGTTAGAAAAAGAGCGTTTCACTAGTCAACGAACAGTCTTTCTTAGAGACATATCATCATTTAAGAGGAATCATCTTAAGTTAAAGCATGTCACTTAAGGGATAATTCAACGTTTTAAAGTAATTCCAAATTCTGAACATTTTATCTGAGCGCGAGGTCGCCCGAGCGAGGTTAACCAGGCCCGTGGTTCAACCACAGTGGCTTATGATGCTATCGCTTGATTATTTCTAATACGTCATAAAAAAGTAACATAGGATTGTTTTTCCCCAACAGAAACATAATTAGCTGTATTTTGCTCTTCTGGCCTGGGCTTTAAACATACTTCGTTAGATACATTTGCAAGGACACCACTGGTCATATGTATGTAAACACAGCGCATCCTCACTGAGGGACTGCGGCCAGTTCACCTGGCTGCTAAGGTGTGTTGTAAGCACATGATCAACAGGCCGGGCACTGTCCCGGCCACCCCCAGAGCTGTGCCAAGTGGGGGACAATCTGAGCTGACTGACAGGCAGGTTCCCAAATGCGGACGCACGCAGCGCCGCTGGCCCTCTGGGTAAAACTGTCCTCCTCATGGTCCAGCTAGTGACGGGCTTTTCACAGTTCGGCACTTTTTGTTGGTGACCTTGCTGTCTTAATTGGCCCTCAGCACAGCTCTGAGGCTGCAGAAAGCGTTGGCCAGGCTGCACGTAAGCACACGTTACGGTGCTGGCCACCCGTTCTGTTCTCAGGCAACAAGATATTCAACGAGGTGTTTTTAAACAGAACAAAATTACGCGTTGATTGGCTGATTAAAACATTCAGCGTTTGCAAACCAGCGTTCATGGGCAACCTTATAGAGCCATAAGGACTGCAAACAATGAGAACTGACTTTGTTTATATAGTTCCACTGTGTCTCCTTCAAAAAGACTTTGAGGGGGCTTACAAAAATATAAAGTACAATGAAATAAATAGATAAGAAAATAAATTAAGAAAATAAAGCTGGGATGGCTAATGTACATAAATGCATACAGAAGATGAGCCGAGGACACACAAAATACAGAGGTAGCTCTCTTATATTCTTTTAAATGCTGTTACTGTAAAGCAACAATCACAGTAATTACTGGAGTACAAACACCTATGCCCAGTGCTGATGGACACACACAAAGGCGTGAAGGAAGAAATGCAAGGCTTGTCAGCACGGACGTCTCCGTAGGTAGACGATTCGCTCGCTATTGCCTCAACCTCCGCTGCTTAGAGGACTTTTTCACAAGCATCTTTTTAGACTGAGATGTTGTTGTTTAGGTAGTTGTCCAACTTTTTAGGTAGGTTTTTTGATCAGCAAATTAATTCAGATTTTTAAAGTTGAAATGAACAAATAAGGTCAATAAACAACAATCTTTTTGGTGTCTGATTTTCTTGTACAATGTTTCACCAAAGTTTAACTAACATACGTTTGCATAAGTCCAGTGACAGGTGCACAACTACCTCCCTTGTTTACACTTAAAACACCACTCTGATTATGAAATTCTGTATTTTACTTGTGGTTCTGTCAAGTTTCCGGTCATACATTTGAGGCCATGTTACTTATGTGCTAATTTCGGCTTGTTATGCCTTCTTACAGATTTGAAACTTTATCATTATGAAATGTATTTTTTATCTCTAGCAATATTTTTTCATAATGTTTACATTTTATGGCAATAATGTAATTACACGAACTTTCTTTTGTTTAGTGCTTTAATGGTATAACCTTTTTTCAGTTTTTATTTGTAACACTCCTCTGCCCTTACATATAAGTAGTATCTTTTATAAACAACATCTAGTGAGCGGTGTAGGTGTATTTTTATCCATTCTAATCATCTCTCCCTTTTAAATGGAGTATGTTCATATTTAATGTAATTTGAGTTTAAGACTATTCTCTATTTGCATTCTGTTTGTCCCATATGTTCTATGATTGTTTAATCTACTTTGTTGTCCTCTTAAAATTTATTTTCTTTTCTTATTTCATTTCTCTTCTATGTTGCTTGTTAGTTTCTTTTACTATTTTTTTTAGTGGTTACCTGGGATTATAACCTTAATTGTTGACTTATTAAAGTCCAAAATACATTTTTATTTTCACCACTTTCTGGACAATGCAAGGATTTTAGAACACAATAATATCATTCACCTCCCTCTCAATTTATAAGCTATTATTGTTAGTTTTAAGTTGGTATAGATTTAAAACCCCATAGACATTATCATTTTATGCAATTAATACTCATTTACATTTTAGAGATATTTGCCATTTCCATGGTTTTAATTCCTTCCTTCATCTGCAATCTTTTCTATGAAACTCTTTATTTTATTGTATTATTATTTTTTAATCCTCACCTGAGGGTGTTTTTTCCATTGCTTTTCAGAGAGAGTGGAAGGGACAGAGAGAGAAACATTGATGTGAGAGACACATCTATTGGTTGCCTCCCGCATGAGCCCTGACCAGGGCTGGGGATCGAGCCTGCAGCCGAGGGACGTGCCCTTGGCCGGAACCGGACCCAGGACCCTTCAGTCTGCCAGCCGACACTCTAACCGCTGAGCAAACTGGCTACGGCTCTATGAAATTCTTTTGCTTTTGTCTGAAACCCTTTATCATGTACTGTAATGTGATGGTTTTTGTTTATCTGAAAATGATTTTAATCTACTTTTTTGAAGTGTGCTTTAGCTCGCTCGATATGAAACTCTAGGTTGTAAGTTACTTTCAGAATTTGGAAGATAACAATGGTTTCCACCATGTTTGTTGAAAAATAATTGTCAGTTTTTTTCTCATCTAAAGAAAATAGGTCCCTGATTACGTTTAAATTTTCTCTTTGTGTTTTTGATTTTTAGCAACTTTTACTATCATATACCTGCATTTGATTTTCTTTATATCTAATCTGCTTGGGGTCTGTCACATTTCATGTCTTTTATCTGTTTGGGGAAATTATAAGTCATTTTGTCTTAAAATATTGCTTTTGTCAATTTTTCTCTCACCTCCCTTTGGGACTTTGACTATCTTCCATATGTTTCTTACTTTCTTTTCCACATTTTTCACCCTTCTTTTCACTTTGTGCTTCATTCTGGTTATTTTCTTTTTTCCTATTTCCCAATTAATCAATTATCTCTTCGGCTGCATCTAACCTGTGTTTATACCTATCAAATGAGATCTTAAATTTAGTTACTTTATTTTTAGCTCAAATATTACACTAAGATATTTTTATTCATATAAGCTCCATGACAATGCCAAAATGTCAATGCCATTAAGCATATTATTTTTATTTTAAAGTTTGTGTTTGATAATGCAATGATCTGAATCCCCTTTACCTATTACTACTCTGTTTTTATCTTTTCCTCAGTGTTTTCAGCCACATTTCTTTGTTGACTTGCTTTCTTTTGATTGGTTGCTAAACATTAGATACGAAAAATCATAGAGGTACTTTAGGGCTCTTTATAACCTACTGTCCTCCAGAGAAGACTTAAATTTACTTCTTTAAAGCAACGGGGATGGGGTACTATCAGCCTCGGGTGTTAAACGGTCAGGGATTAAGATAACCCGAGGCTGGACTTCTCTGATGGGAGGCAAAGAGCGGAACTGTGAGGTAGCCCCTGCGGCCGAGTACAAAAGCTCCTCCTCCTTCGTGGGTCCTGAATTCCCATTTTATTCTCTAAGACCCATCCGTCCATCAGATCCTCTGTTTTAACCTTTTAGACCCCCAGACACCTTCTGTGTCACCAGGGAGACAGACAGCACCAGGTGCCAGTTCCATCTTCTTGGACCTCGCTTTTCTCTGGGCTCTTGGCTAGAACAGTTCTTTACCATGTGGGTACTTCCAGCTTTCAGGCACATTTAAAAAACATATTTTGTACTTTTTTCCTAGTTATTCTCAGAAGATGGCCTGGTCTGTAACACTCAGTCCATTATTGTCAGAAACGCAATTCCTCACTGTCTCCCTTTGGCCTCTGCTCTCCCCTGGATGACACATTTTCGGAGCGGCGGAATGGCCAGCGCGCACTCGCTCAGCCAGCCACGCAGCCGGCCGTCAGCTCGGCTACCCGGGTCCTCATCCTAAACACTGCCTTTGCTCTGCCGTCTACTGTCCTCAAAGGAACTGTGAGCAGAGCGTAGAGCTGAGAATTCCCTCCTCTGTGATCCCGAGACAGCGGCCGCCTCTGAAAAACTGGACACCTGAGCTCTCTCTTGCTTCCGCTGCAAACGGCACAGCGCGTAGGGAGGATTGTGAAACTGTAAAGCCAGAGGGAAGCTTAGGGAACAAGTGTAGCTTCACTTTGTACTTGCAAAACTCAATCTCAGGGCAATAAATGACCAACTTAAGGTCACACAGAGAGTTATTTGCAGAGTGAGACTATAAGTTAGTCATTTGGCTCAATTCAATACTGTTTATGATGCAGTACAATGCCTTTACCTCCAGGCCATTCTGATCACTATTTCTTTTTATTCTGGATTGCATAAACTCCCATAACTTTTATAGGAGACTTAGAGTCCTAGTAAAAATCATGGTTCATATGGTTGGGTGTGATTTGAAGCTTCCTCTCTCATTTAAACTCTCCCATAATTAGAGTTTTAATTAGGTGACATTTAGTTTAAATGAGCTTCAAGCTCATCAGTGAAAGAAGGAGCCAGTGACACCTGTAATTTCTGTGACAGGAAAGGAGGGATGGTTACGTGATGATGTAACCTCACTTGCCAAGTATTTACTGTCCTGCTGTAATTTTGCTTTAAGACTTCGGTAGATCCCTTCACAGCCTGGAGTATTCACTCCTCTGTTTTATAGCTAAGGAGACAGGCCAGGTCAGTGAGTCTCAGCCCGGCTTCGGTTAGAAACACTGAAGGGCTTGTGAAGCCGCCTGTGTCTGTGCTCAGCACCGAGACTGATCCCGGCGGTGCGGGTGGGCCCGCAGCCGGTGGCCTCACGCCCAGGCTGTCCCCGGGGCCGCCGGGGCCTGCAGCTCCGCGCTGACGCTCTTCCCGAGGGGGGAGCTGCACGCCGCGTGCAAATACGACACATCTGAAAATTTCCGCCTCAGCATGCCTGCTGAACAGACTCTAATTTACTTTCCAAAAGCGCCGGATTGCCCAGAGCAAATGTAATAAAGGCACAACCATCCCACGCGGGACAAGGAGCCTTCTGATTAGTCGATTCTGAAGTAACGCAAGGTGGCGAGACACGACCCGACGTGACATATGTAAGATGCACTTTGCTACACTTTCCCGGTTTAAGCAGAATCTCCTTCTTCTGTGAGATCTTAAGGCATCTCTCTAGGACATCGGTCAAATTTGTTATTATTACTGGTTTCAAAATAACTGAAACTAACTTTAAAGACACTCTCAGCACCACCAGCTTGTACCTGTAAACCAGCACTTACTTCAGGGACGTGAAGGAAGGCATGGCGCTTGTCATGCCGGTCTCGGCCATCTCAATGGCGTGCTTTATCTCCAGCTTTTTGTACAGGGACACGATGCTGGACTTGGGCTGGTTCTCCCGAATCAAAAGCTTCCGCAGGTATTTGTCATCAAACTTTTTAAACCTGGGAATAAAGAACATTAAAGCTTCGATTAACTAATACTACACTGACTAAGAAAAAACTTGTTTCCAGCAATAAAATCATTCCCACTACTCCCAGGGGAAAATGTAGTAGCAGTGTTTACTTGCCTGAGAATTATAATTATTTTTATAGATGCAAACCTAAATACATATGTACATAAAATATGTACACGTACATATAAAAATATATAGCACACACTGATACATTTTTATATAGTCATGCATACATGAGTCTAATACATGTGTATTTCTACATTTCTTATTTCTCTGCTTCCCCTTCCAGCAAAATGATTAAGAGTGTTGTTAATATTCTGTATCTATAATTCCTCTCCTTTAATTCCTCTTGAAAATTCACAAATCAGGCTTTTGCCACAATACTCCATTCCAACTACTCATACTGAAGTAATCAGGGACACCCCCCCTTCCCCCAACAACACAAATCTGATGGCCAATTATTTAGCTCTCACCCTTTCTGACCTCTCCTGTTTAAACATTGTCTTCCGGGACACCACACCGCCCTGGGCCCCTGCCTCCCTCCCTCCTCAACCTCTTCTTTAAAATTCTCTTTCTCCTTCCTGCCCTCTTTGCGTAGGAGTGCCTCTGGTTCAGTCTTTGGTCCCCTGTCTGCCGCCACCCACTCTCCTGGTGAGCATGCCTGGTCTCATGGATTTTAATAGCATCTCTCTTCCAGTGACTCTCAGATTGGTATCTCCAGCTCCAACCTCTCTCCCGAACCCCAGAAGTAAATATTCAGCTGCCTCATCAGCATCTGCACTTGGATAGCTAGTAGACATCTCAACTCAAAATGATCCGACTGAAGTCATCTTTTCCTGTAATCTCCCCATTTCCGTTAATGACAGCTCCTCCAGGTCAAAGCCTGATGCCAACTTTGAGTCTCCTTCTCCCACTTCCGTGTTATGACTTGAATGGTGTCCATCTCAGTCTTCAGGTGTTGAAGCCATAACCCCAGGACCTCAGAATGTGGTCATATTTGGAGACAGGGTCTTCAGGAGTGACTATGTGAAAATGAGATCATTTGAGTGGGCCTGAATCCAATATGACTGGTGTCTATATAATGAGAAAACTCGGACAGATGTGTACAGAGGGAAGAAGACATGAAGAGGCAGGAGGAAGGCGTCTACAAGCCGAGGAGAGAGGCCCGCAACAGGCCCTTCCCTCACGGCCCTCAGAAGCAGCAACATCTACCAACATGTTGACCTTGGACTTCTAGCACACAGAACTGAGAGAATACATTGCTGTTGTTTAAGCCACCCCAACAGGGGCACTTTGTTATAGTACCTCTAGCAAATACTCCCTATCCACTCTATCAGCAATTCCTCTTGGTGCCACCGTCAAAATACTTACAGAACCCAACCACTTCTCACCATCTCTACTGCTATGACCATGGTCCAAGACATCATCATCTCTCAATGAAGTCTTGCAACGGGCACCTAATTGGTCTCCCTGCTTCCACCATTGCACCCCTACAGCCTATCCTATTCTCGACACAGAAGCTGAGTGATCCTGTTAAAATGTAAGTCACACAACGAGACTCCTCTGCCTCTCACCTGAGTGGCTGGAGGCCCTGCACAACCTGGAGCTGCACCTCTTAGTGCTCCTTGCACGCGGGTCCCGCCTTACTGGTGTCCTTCCTGTCCTGGATGCTCACCAGCTGTGCTCCCACCTCTGGGCGTTTCTACTGACTCTTCCTTCTACTGGGAATACTCCTTTACACGCCTGCAGGTGCATCCTCAGACCCTTCAAGGTGGTCATTTCTCCAAAACGGCCTTTCCTATCCATCGATGCCCTTAGGATTGCACGTCACCCCCTCCACCAAACTTCCTTTCTACCTCACAGATACACTTTTCTCCATAGAAGTTATTTTCTAACATCTATGAATTTATTCTTTGTGATGCTTTCTGTTCCTTGCACAAGAATGGCCTCCGTGGGCACAGGTGGTTGCTGTTTCTGGTATCACCAGTGCCTGCACGCTTGGGAGCACAGACGGGAGAATGGATCATTTGGTCCCAATTCTTTCCCTGTATCCACATTCTCTGCTCTATTACTTGGCAATGTCCTTCCACCACGGCCTAAGTGATCTGCCCTTTCCTGCTTCAATAATGTCACTTGCTTTGGTCAACGGGCGATTAGCAGACATGGTGATGGAAGCAGAGGCTTAAAATGGGCTTGCTCAATACATCCTGCCTCTTGGCTTCCACAGATACCACTAGAAGGATGTGAACAGGGGGACTCATTAGTCCCAAGACAAAGGGGATGCCACATGAAGCAGAGTGAAGTCACCACAGTCACAGAGCAGGCAGTGGGACCAGCTGACAGCCAGACAAACCCAGGCCAGACCCACCAAGCCCAGCCCAGAGCAGCTGGCTCTCAGCCTCTTAACTCAGGCGCTTTAGTAAGAAGTGACTGTAGTTTTGAGCAGTTGACTATTGGGCTGTCTTGTTATGTAACATTACTGAGTCAATATGTAAACGAAACAGCATGCAATAAATATTTGTTGAGAAAGAAATAAATTTATTACACTGATCACCACGAGTCCAAGGAGTTTTATAGGCACACCTGTGCTATGGAAACAAACAAACAAAAAACAGTGTTAACCCACATTCTTGGTCCTAAATACTGGAGGGCTACGAACAATTGAAGAGCGTCACCTTAGTGTGCTTTACTAGTGACTGGCCACTACACTAAATACAGGGCCCTATGTTTTTCTAAGTTTGAGCAGGACTCCTGGCAGCAACACATCCTTTTAAACTTCTTTTATTATTATTATTGTTTTAGCTTTTAACTAGAGATAAACAAAATGAAGAATAAATATTAAGAACAATGACATCTGATCTATTTAGTGTAGGAGCTGTGTACTTTCTTTAAAAAAAAGTTTTTGTTGATTTTCGAGAAAGAAGAAGGGAGAGGGAGAGAGCGAGGTCTGCTGCCTCCGGCACACCCCTGCTGAGGGTCACTGAGCCCTGGCTGGTTCCTGGGTGGACGCCTGACCACTGAGCCACACCGGCCGGGCGGAGCTGCGCACTTTCATTTCTCTGCCAAGCTGCACATGGGCAGTTTGTTTCTCCATCGTTAGCTTCCTTCTGCCAAGTCTGAGAAACTTCCCTGCTGCCTTCCCTGTTATGTCTTCCTCAGAGGACCCAATGCCTAAAGGACTCTCTGGCAGGGCCACTAGAAATCCTCAGCATAAGGATTCCAGAAGGAAAGGGAAGGTACACAACACACCTAAAACAATCACTTCTATTTATGTCACTTTCAGCAACATCAACAACTCTTACATACCAGAGATAGGACCTGAGCAGAACTAAAGCTAAAACGGCTTGTGTCGGTGCCGAATCTCTCCACACCCACCTCCCTGGCACATACAATATCGTGCATGGAAACGCTTAAAGGCTTATGAAGTAACCGAATGAAGCGTGTGCACTGCAGAGAACAGAGTTAGACATTTTAAAACAAGGTTGGCTCTCAGGGGTGAGTCTCTGCCCTTTATCACTCACAGCCCAGTCACCCGGCAGCTTGCAGCGTCGCCTTGAACACACTCACTGCCCGAGAAAAAGAGCCTCCCCTGAGACGGGCGGCTGGGCCCCCCGACACCCTTCGCCTGCGCCCCAGACAGCCCACGCCTGGCCGCCATCGCCGCTCTCTGCCCTGCCCAGGGGCTGGCCTGACCCCGTATCCCCTCACATCTATTTCTTAAAAACTTTGATTGACTGATTTTTTTTTAGGGGGAGAAAGAGAGAAAGAAAGCGAGAGGAAGCAACAGACAGGCAGACACAGGTCTGCGCCCACTTTCTCGCGCATTCGGCCGCTGATTCTCACATGGGCCTGGCCAGGGGCCGAGCCTGCGCCGGCGACTGGGCCGCCGCAGGGGCCTCGCACCCCCTTTCCCTCTGGGAGGTGGGGAGTGAGGTGAGTCTTTAGCTTCACTTTTGCAAAGGAAGGAACTGTCCTGGGTTTCCCCTCACCTGCCATCTGCCGCCAGAGGGGAGTCGCAGGATCACAGGGAAGGCAGAGAAATGCTTGGGGTGAGGGGAGCGGCCGGGGGAGCAGCAGGGCCAGGGAAGCAGGGGACAGGAGGGTGGCCACGGAAGCAGGGGACAGGCGGGTGGCCACGGAAGCAGGGGACAGGCGGGTGGCCACGGAAGCAGGGGACAGG